CACTTACCGCCCTAACAGAAAAAAAAAAAAATTGGTGGGAAAAAAGTGCAATAATCTGATTTAAAAAACAGAGACGAATAAGCTTTCACAGAAACATAAACTGAAATTGCCCTTAGTCATATGAAAAGATGCTCAATTGCATTCACTAGAGAAATGTAGATTAAATTTATACTGAAACTTATTTTTCGCCTATCACACTGGGAAAATTTTACAAGCAGATTCTTGTGGTACAGTTTTGGTTTTTTATTTTGTTTTTCAAGTCACACTCATATTCAGCCGGTAGAAATATCAATTGTTGTATACCCACCATTTAAAACAATTTAGGAATTTCTAAAACAATAAAAATGCACCTTTTCACCAAACAACCCAATTCTTGAAATGTATCCTAACAGTTTAGGGTCTCTCAGCCAGCAGGCCCCCAGGATCTACCAAGAGATCTCAGATGAAAATGATGTCATTTGGAGTTTATGGCAAAAGGCATTGGGGCAAACTGTTAGGATGGGGGTGGGGGGAGCACGGGAAGGACACCAGGTTGAAAGGGGCCACAGCTGGAAACAGGTAGAGGATACTGTCCAGCGATGCTAGCACTGGGGAATAGCTATGTCCAGTGTTGCTGAAGCCGTACTGGTAAAATACCAGAAGCAATCCCATGTCCATCAAGAGGAATCTGGTTAAACAGATTACAAGACCAAGACAGGGCAAACAATCATATATGCCAAAAAAACAAGAAGAAATTTTTCATTTTGAATTCCAAAATGCTCCAAGATACATTGTGAAGAGAATAAAGCAAGGTAAGCTGAGTGTGAAATGTAGACTTGTCATAGAAAAGAGAAGGGAGAATGAAAATGCGTATTCACAGTATATCAAGAAATATTTGAAAGCTATACCAGACACTAATGAAAAATAATGGGACCAGGCAAGAGAAGTAGTAATGGGACAACTGCAGAGCCTAGGTACAGAATCTAGGGGGGGGCGAAATTTTTTTACTGCTGTGGGTTGATTTTAGTTTTTGCAATCAGGGTCTCATACATGCCAGGTCTGTGATCTACCACTGAAATATTTCCCTGTTCCTTTACTGGGTATTTTTGCTGTTTTGATTTGTGATGTATTTCTTTCTTGTGTGTGTGTGCACGCGTGCGCTGGCCACACATGGCTGTGCTCAAGACTTAATCCTGGCTCTGTGCTCAGGGATTATGTCTGATGGTGCTCTGGGGACCTTATGGGGTTCCGGGGATCAAACCTCCAGGTCAGCTGTGTATGAGGCAAACTCCCTACCCACTGTACTATCTAGTTTTAAGATGTACTGCTTACTAAAAAGCTCTTTTAATAACTCAATAGGTATTAAATTGAAGCATTTTAGTCGAAACTCAGATGATACAACACACATTTTATCTCAAAGGGAGTAAGGGAGTATCAGAGGAAGTATACTGATTGTTTATAACTTACTTTGAAGTGTGCATGGATAAAATGAAAGCTAGCACAATCAAATATCAATTATAGAATTGAGGTGATTGGGTAGGGACAGTCAACACAGAATTCCTCCAACTTTTTGGTATGTTTGAAAACTTCCTATAAGAATATGAAAAATTATTTCTAATTAAAAACTTAAAAGCTATTTCATGAATCAATAAGCAATTCGATAGGAAAATAGGCAAATAATACACTGTGACGGCGAAACTGATGTCATGACAAGCTGCAGCTAACATTAAGTCTCAACTAGGCCTCAAGTTTACGTTTCCTCAAAGCAGAACCTGCAGTTTCTGGTAAACTCCCAGTTGAGTAATTTGCCTAGATAAGAAATTGGGTAGTTGGGACTGGTCGGCCATGAGGAGTCACTGTACCCTCCGTAGAAGTATATCAAGAAATATTTGAAAGCTATACCAGACACTAATGAAAAATAATGGGACCAGGCAAGAGAAGTAGTAATGGGACAACTGCAGAGCCTAGGTATAGAATCTAGGGGAAAAAAAATTTTTTTTACTGCTGTGGATTGGTTTTAGTTTTTACAATCAGGGTCTCATACGTGCCAGGTCTGTGATCTACCACTGAAATATTTCCCTGTCCTTTTCCTGGTTATTTTTGCTCTTTTAATTTGTGATGTATTTCTTTCTTGTGTGTTACCAACTGTCGTCTAATTGCTAACTACTGTTGTAATAGGGTCGATGCTAAAAATAGACCAATATATAAATTGCTTCTTAACACTGAACCCTATATAAACTGCTTGTGATTTGGAGTCAGGGTCCTTGTCAAGACTCCACTGTGTTGGATGAGACTTGGGCCCTCGCTCGAGATAGCAACGGCTCAAGCTAGTAATAAAGTTCCTTCGCTTTCGCATTCTCGTATGTGGATTTGGTCTCTCCACAACTGGGGATCCAAAACTCAGGCACAACAGAAAACAAGGTGGACAGGCGCGGGGGGAGAGTGGGAGAGCTGAGGCAGGCAGGGAAGTCTCCATAGCAAAAGTGCCTGGCTAGCATGCTTGAGATCCTGACTTCGAATCCTGGTACATGCCTCTGAGCTGTGCTGGCTAGGGTTCCGGCACCACAGCTGTGTGCAATCTCTGATGCACAGCAAGTAGCCGCAAACACCACAACTAAAGTCACAGAAGACTTGAAAACGCAGGAGCTTGGCACTAGAACCATGGTACATAGCGGGTAGGGGATTTGTCTTGCATGCGGCATACCCAGGTTTGCTCCCAGGTACCCTGTAGGTCCCCTGAGCACCACCAGAAGTGATGCCTGAGCACAGAGCCAGGAGTAGCCCCTGAACACCACTAGGTACGGCCTAAAAGACAAAAAAAATAATGCAACTACCAGCAAATACCACAACTAAGTAAGCACACAGTACAGCCAAATGTGATCCCACACTCCACCCCTCTACCATCATCCCAGAACAGGAGGGGAGGGGAGGAGAAGGGAAGGCAGGGGAGATGGTGGAGGGAGGTGGGAAGGGGAGGCAGGCAGACAGAAAGAAGGAAAGAAGGAAGGGAGGAAGAGAGTAAAAAGGGAGGGAGGGAGAGAGAGAGGGTGGGAGAATTGTTTAATAAAAGATCTAAATATTTGCCAGAGAAATAGTACAGTGGGAAGTCACTTGCCTTGCACACAGCTAACCCCTGTTTGATCCCCCATCCCATATTTTAAATTATAAAGCAGTGTTAAGAGTAATAATGAGAGGATTCTGCTCTATAAAATCATAAACCGTATTCGTTCCATAAACAGGCTGGAAAAGGTAAATTGGAATATCACTAGATAAACCATCGGGCACATGTCTGCCTTGTCCTGAATGTAAACCATTTGTCTCTGCAGGAATACAGAGACAGCTAGGAATCAATTTGCAAGAAATTTAAAAAAAAAAAAAAAGAAAAAAAAAACAGTTTAAAGAATCAAGAAAAGCCAAGAGTGTGGGACTTTCATGAAACAAAACTGAAATAATGACTTGACTCCCACATCTCTAACTAAATTAAAGTACTCTTGTGGAAAGCTAAAGTAGAAAGCGTTTCCTCACTCGGCCAACTGAGCATTTGCTACTTGACAGGCGCAGAGAGAACAGGCAGGGCAGAGAGGACAGGCTCAAGAATCTTGGAGATCTCTGCACCAGTGCTGCTGTTTTGACACCTAAAACTGAGGGCCTGAAATGACCCTCAGACAACTCAAAAAAAAAAAAAAAGTGCTCGGTATCAAAAGCAGCAGTGATTTGGGGAAACACTGGAAGAAAACAAAAGAACATTTTATTCCGTTCAGATTCTTGCTATAATAAAATTCTACTTTTATAGAATTAGATAGAAAATACATCTCCATGGAAACAATACTTCCCAGCAGATATGCCAGGCTGGCGAGTACACTTCTCCCTGCAGGTCTTCGCGTCCCTGCGCAGATGGACAGGATCTGGGGGGGAGGTGGTCCCAGAGCACAGTTCTGTGAGTGGACAGGACAGGCCCTGAATTCTGTCTTCTCGGTTTACGAGATGCAAATCAATCTGAGCCTTATCCAAGCCCAGGTTTGTTTGTTGTTTTTTTTTTATCAGCAAAATGGGAATAATCAAGGACTACTTTACAAGTTTTATCAAGAATGCAAAAAAGTGCAAGTTTTCTAATTCAGGAATTCATACATTCCTGGCTCCAGAATTCAGGTGTCCAGGCATTTTATTCATAGTTGCATGATCATGACATCTAATCACATGGTTGGTCTATGATTGGCAAACCATTAACATCAGTGACCAGTGTATAGTGGGGGCTTCTACTGAGAGGAGGGGAAAGGTGGGGCCAGAGCAATTTTACAGCAGGTAGGGCATTTGCCTTGCACATGGCAAACCCAGATCGATCCCTAACATTCCATATGGTCCTCCTAGCACCACCAGGAATAATTCCTGAGTGCAGAGCCAAGAGTATCCCCTGAGCATCACTGGGTGTGCCCACCAAACCAAAAAACAACAACAACAACAAAAAAAAAAAGAGTAGGGGAGAGGCATTGGCAATGCTGCTATCAGTAGACATTGGTCAATCACTGGCAGAGATCATTAGAGGTTACTTGTAATATAAAAGAGTACTTAAAACTTTCAAATGTAACGTTTAGCAATTTGTTCCTAGTTACAAAGGTCAGGAAGCCAAATTAATTATATCATCTCAAAATGCTCATCCAGCCAAATCTTCTCCACAGCATATTACATTAGATGAGATGAACAACTTCTGTTTACAGGCTTCTAGCCAGAGTGGAGCTCAAAAAGTATCAACGTACTACATTTTCTGACACTTCTCAGTATCAAAAAGGGCTTTTTTCCACCTTCTAACAGTGATTTTTTAAAAGTGAATGATAACAGAAATGGAGAAAAAAAGCCACTGAGTTCTCATTTGGAGATAAGAAAGGATATTCTATTAAATAACACTTCTGCAACATAAAAGTCAAGTTCCAACAAGCCATCTTGAATTTCTATTTACATGCTCAGAACAAAATGCATCTTAGACACTCTGCCTTATTTATATGCAAGATATAAAGGAAACATACCTGGGAGGATATCGTTGATATGCAAAAGAATTGTACTTTCAACACTTGCAAAACTGCAAAGCTGGACTCCATCAAATCTTCCATCCCAGTTACCAATAGGATTATCCTAGAAATTAAATAATACACTAAGTGTTAAAAAACCTCCCCAATAAGATGTAAATATGGAAGTCTGTATTTTCTACAAAAGAACCCTCCAAAGCATTTTAGATAGGAAATTTCTACTATTTATCTTAAAAGGAAAAAAAAAGGACCATATTAGGCATAATTGCCCCTTTTTAATTATTTCATTTGTGTTTATTCTGGGAGAAAAAAAAAGAGAGATCCAGCAATAATGAAGTGACAGTAAACTTAGGTGAACAAGAAATCTAAAAGAAATTGTTATAGTTTACTAGATAGGAAATACGCATTCATATTCTAATGTTCATCTGCATAAGATCATTTGTTAAAAATATATTGCTTCACCCAGAAACCTGTCCCTAATTAAGAGTCGCTTGCTCTACTTACTCTAACCACATATCCTGACCATTAAAACATTCCATTTGAGTTCCTATATTCCTTTCTGTGCAGAGAACATCTCCTTCCTACTGTTTGTCATTTTACAAGTACACAAAAATCCCATCAATGTGGAGTTTTATATTTAATGGCTTCATACTCCAATGTGACACCAACTAGTACCAATTCATGGGGCCAATTTAAGACATGGGCTAGTTAACAACTACTCTGATTACGAACGTATACAGCAGACTAAACATCACTGGAAACAGAAGAACATGAAGAATACTGCATTTGCCAGAACTGTACTTTCAATAAATACACAGAATATTGGGAGGAGGGCGTACCCAAGCTAACTGGAGGTGGAGACAAAAGGAGAAGTAGACAAGAAAAGTTCTAGGCAGTTGCTCCAAGCAACAAGATGGTCTTAAGGTTGCCATCTAAACAAAGGGAAAGCCAATAGTTTTTGCCAAGTTTGAGGCCTCAGCCAATTCACCTGAAGCAAGGGTAATCTCAACCTGAAGTTAGTGTACCTCTGCTTCCAATCTTCCCTCTCCACAGCCACAGTCTTCCCATGGTTTGTAGATGGAGAAACAAACAGTACAGGAGTTTACGGCACCTGTCCCGCAACCCTCTGACCCTGGTTCAAGTATCCAGGAACACATAAGGTCCCTGGAGCATCACCAGGGTTCACTCCTGAGCACAGAGCCAGAAATAAACCCTGAGCACAGCTGGTTGGGGCTGAGGCTCTGCAGTACAACACTTGCCCTGCATATGTGAGATAGGAGGGGAAGGGAAGCAGGAAGCGGGGCGGGGGGGGGGGGGGGGGGGAGATAAAGGGAGGAGGAGGGGAAAAGCTGAAAAATGTGCTTTATTGCAAGCTATCCCAAGGGACCCAGACATTTCACTCTGGTCTAACTTTTAATTTGGTAACTGTAGTAAATTAAATGTGTTTAGACAACATATTTTTCTAACTAATAGATTGCAAGAAAACTTTCCAAGCTCAGTATTAAAAAAAACATATGTTGAACAATCAGACCCTATCAGCAAAAAGGCACTGTCAAACAAAACAAACACTGTCCTCCCATTGTTCATCGATTTTGCTCGAGTGGGCCCAGTAACATCTTCATTTTGAGACTTCTTGTTACTGTGTTGGAATATCGAATACATCATGGGTAGCTTGCCAGGCTTTGCCAGGTGGGCGAGATATTCTAGGTAGCTTGCCGGGCTCTCTGAGAGGGGCGGAGGAATCGAACCTAGCTCGGCCGGGCTGGCTGCACACAAGGCAAATGCCCTACCGCTGAGCTATTGCTCCAGCCCAGCAAAAAGGCATTCCCAAATAAAAAATAATCATTCACGTCATTGAGAGTGTACAAAAGCCTATTACTAACATCTTCTGCTAACCCGTTCCAGTGTTTAATAATTCTGCATGAATTTCCTCTTTATGCCTAACAAATCATTGCCCCAATTTTCAAGCTAGGATAAAATGTTTTTAGCCTTTTCCTTCTCCTCTTATTCAACTTGCCATGATAAAATATATGTGTTATTAACAAATAAGACTGTAAGGTGGTGTTAAAAATAAGTGATACCAAAATATTTGGGCTGAAGCAATAGCACAGCAGATAGGGCATTAGCCTTGCATGCAGTCAACTCAGCCGACCCAGGTTCGATTCCCCCACAACTCTCAGAGAGCCCGGCAAGCTACCGAGAGTATCTCGCCCACACGGCAAAGCCTGGCAAGGCTATGACGTATTCGATATGCCAAACACAGTAACAAGTGTCACAATGGAGACCTTACTGGGCTCGCTCGAGCAAATCAATGAACAGCGGAAGGAGAGTGACTGTGGCCAACATATTTATGATTCTACATATGTAAAGTACCTAGAATAATCAATTCACAGACATAAAAAGAACATTGATGACCAGTTGAATATAGCTGAGTGGGGTGCACTAGTGGGAGTTTGACAGTCACCGGGCTTCAGTTAGGAATGATGGAGTGATTCTTAGGCAATGATGCCAACATTTAATTCCACTGAAGCATGAAATTTAAAATGATTAAAATAATGAAATGTTATGTTCCTATATTTTACAATAAAAAAAATATTTTGAGGAAGCTATACCCTAAGAAAATACTCTACCTTTTTCTCTTAAAAAAAAAAAAGAGGATAAAAAGGGTGATTATGGGGCCAAAGAGATTGTGCAACTGGTAAAGCACTGGCCTTGCACACAGCAGACCCAGGTTCAATTCCTGGCACCACCTATGGCCACTTGAGCCCATCCAACATGTTCCCTGAGCACAGAGCCAGGAGCCAGGAGTAGGAGTAGTAAGCCCTGAGCACCACCAGATATTTCTCCCAAAAACTGAAAAAAGGAAAAGATAATAAGTCATTTTTAAAAAAATGATTATGGGTAACAGACAGTACCTCGGGTAAGATGCTGCCCTTGCATGCAGCCAACTCAGTTCAAATCCCCAGCATCACGCTTGGTCCCCTGAGCATAGCCACAGGGATCACCCGTGAGCACAGAGCCAGGAACAGCTTTAGAGCACAGCAGAGTATAGCCTACCTCCCACCCCCAACCCCACCCCCCCAAAAAACAAGCAATTATTTCTTCTTTTTAGTTATTTTCCACAATAATTTTATACTATAGTTATTAAAATCAGGTCAGATATTTAAATTTTGCAAAACATTATAAACAGAGAAATACTGGGGCCAAAGAGATAGTATAGTAGATATTTACTTGCCTTGAAATGGCTTAACCAGGTTCAATCCCTGGCACAAATGGTCCCCTGATCATCACTATAAGTGACCCCAAAGCACAGAGCCAAGAGTAAGCGCTGAACACTGTCAGGTGTGTCCCCTCCTATCCCCCAAAGGAGAGATTAAATACTAATTATCAAATAAAAAAACTCTTTCAAAATAAAAGTAACATCATTAATTTTTGAACTTTTACCCTCTCGATGAATGATAATAAAGCAAATTTAAAGACTGAAAGCAGTCTTCCAGTTTATTCGAGTTGAAAAGTACAAGTAATTCTATGTCTAGACTTCTGTCTCCTATCAGTGTTCTCTGACTAAAGATAAACCAGAACATGTTCTTTAAATTGCTCTGCATTCGTTCACTCCAAATATTCAAAATGTATTTCATTTCTGCCTAAATCAAGCATAAAACAGATATGTCCAAAAGATAGAACAATCCCAGAGCTTCTTACCATGTCCACACCAACAAAATATCCTAAGCTTTCCTTCCCCGGCAAAACATCACAGAATATGACTGTTCCCGATTCCACAGTTTCTCCGAGCTTCAAGGAAACTCTGGAGTTAATTTCCAGCGGAGGGAGCTCGACAGGCATTGTGTCCACAGGACCTGCGTAATCACTCTCCAGTCCATTGTCATCGTCTTCGAGGAGCTCAAGCTTGTCCAACGCAACAAATACGCCACAATCTTCCTCACACTGAAAAAGCTGCTTCCCTTGATAGAGTCCATCAGTGAAGCCTTGGCCACGACCATCTTCCTAGGTTTGAAAAGGAAGAAACAATGAAAGGCAGTCACAGAAAGATGATCTATTGAGAAAATGGATCCTCCCAGGGCAATTGGGGAAAAGAGAGTGGGGGAATCCACATGATAAATGTTAAGGCCTGCAATCGTTAAGCCAATGCTGTTCAATTTGTGACATTAAAAAAAAAGTTTATATTTGATGCTGAACTAAAACTACCCGGTAATTACAGGTCATAACTACCTTATTAGAAATCTGGATTGGATTCTACCTTGTGGTTTTAGCTAGAATTTTGTTCTAACCAGAAAATTTTACCTAAAATAACAGTGACAGTATCTCCATTTATTGAGCACTTACTATATGCCAGATGCTATGATAAAATTAAAAAAAATTAACTGCATGCTAAATAAATTAGTATCACTTAAATAATTAGTAGCACTTAAATAATTAGTAGCACTAAATAATTAGTATCACTAATTTATAGATGAGGAAGCTGACATGGGAAGTTAACCAGCTTGGCTAAGTAACTGAATTTATAAGTTTTTAAAAGGCAGAGCGAGAATTCAAATCTCCAATTTGTTTTTATCATCACTATTTCACAAATTAAATCAAGGAACAAAGCATGAAATCCTATTTGCAGGAATGTCAAAATGTGACATTTAAATTCTGGAAAGATATTGCAAAGTGCTCAATTCTATTTTTAGTAGAAATACATTCCAAGATGATTTTCATATATATTATCAGAGACAACTGTGAGCAAGTTTAAATCGCTGCAACTTATTTTTTAAAATAAGTTAATGGGGCTAGGGCGGGAGAGACTGAGACTCTTCAGGGGACTGAGCACAGGTTCTGCATGCAGGAGATCAGGTTTAAGCCCCAGGTGAGTTGCCAAATACAGGTATCACTGGGAGCCAATCCCAAGGAGAAAACAATCTCTACCACTGCTGACCCTAGAACAGAATAAGACAAAAATCCAGGGCCAGACTGATAACTCAATGGACTGGATCAAATGTGTCACATGTGAGAGGAGTGGCATCAATCGCCAGCAACAGACATCCCACAGCCAGCAGTGTCCCCCAAGCACTGAGCCAGGAGTACCACCAGAGCCCCGCCACGTAAGGCCCCCAAACTAAAAACTCTTATGTCTAAATTAACAGAATGCAATAAGAAAATTCAAGAACCGATCAATGATAAAGTCACAAGATTGTTAGCAAGTTTTTCAGATTATTCTATAATGGAGTTTCCCTTTAATGTAAGTACTAAAATATCTAAAACACACATAATCGATAGCTACATGATTTACTTGTATTTCCTACAACAGTAGGTAGTCTACAAGTTAATATCATGGCATCATCTCAATGTATCATTGGATAGTAAATCCTAAGGATTCTGGATATTAAAAATTACAGATTTGGGGCCGATTTTGTCTCTGTATATAAAGGAGAAAAACATATACAAATAAACATCCATTTCATGTATACTCTCACACATCCCCCCCCCCAAACACATGGCCCCCAAAATGAGTTATCAGACTTACAGACTTACCAGTAATTCTACTCCAAAGAATATCCCCGACACTGTCCTCTCTGGTAACAGGGGTCCTCGGAAGCGCACCACACCAGGAAACTTCTCTTCCCCAGATCTCAGCTGTACTTTCACGGGGCTGCCCACACCTATTTGGAGACCTTTGCTGAGTCTATTTTTGTTTTTAAACAAGCTGAACCTCTCTTCACAATTGGTAATTGCCAAAAGCAACTCTGCGTATTTCTCATTTATTTCAACAACATCTTTTTCATCCACAAAAACAACTGCATGTGGCTGCTCGAGGATTTTTATTCCAATCTGATTTTTCTTGCCTTTTGCAGAAGGAATCCTCGAGTGTCCCAAGGAGCGATCCTGATACTGTCCGATGCTCCCTTTCGGGACTTTAAGGATCTTCGGGGTCTGTTTGTCTGCCACACTGCATTCTTGAAGAAGCATATAAAAAATCCGCTCCTCCCAGTAGGGTGAAGTAACTTTCTCTTGGCTCCATAAGCCTGAACTCATTGTGAGAGTAACTCTAAAATCTTAACTCAAAAGAAAAGGGAACTTCTAAGTCTGGAGTAAAACTGCAAAAGTCAAATTCACTGGCAGTCCCAAAGCCCGTTTTTAGCCATTTGGTGTCCATGCTGTGAAAAGTCAGCAGATCCAAGTGCCTGGAGGAGAAGCAAAAGGAAACTTTATACTTCCTTCTCTATCAGCTAACTTCTCCTAAAGGTTAGAGACTTTTTTAAATCTCTGGCAACTAGTAACAACACAGACAGACAAAAGCACTTTCCCAAATCTTAAAAAAGTTCAAATGTTACTTGTATCTTCTGTAATTCTGCACATTTATTTAAGGAGCTCAAACTATGAAGTATTTTTAGACAATACAATGTTTCCAAGCACTGCAGTTTATAAAATTATAGTAATAAATATATACATATTCAGATTTTTTTTTACTTTAAAAAGCAGCATTTTAATAGATCCTGATTAAATTCATGAGATACTGCATTTGCAAAACACACATGGATTTAAAAGGCTATTATTTCTATACATGGAGCATAAGTTAAAAGTGGCTCTTTGTTACGTTGAATATCTTTAATAATAAAACTGCCATAAAACCACATTCTGAAGCTTTAACCACAATTCATTTATCTGCATACCATATTTTGATAATGGAATATTTTATCCCTGGCTCAGCTTCATTTTCTTAATCTTGCACATTTTGTCCTTAGATAAGCAAATGCTGATCACATTATTAGAGCAATCATTTAATTTCTTCCAATCACAAATATCAGATATTACAAATCTTATTGCACCCAAAATATCTTTGAACATCTATTTTGTAGCCACCAAAACTTGGGATGGCGGGCATCAGAGAGACAGTACAGTAGGCAAAGAACTTGACTTCCATGCGGCTGACCTGAGTTGATCCCCATATGGTCCCCCGAGCCCACGAGGTATGATCCCTGAGCTCAGGGCCAGGAGTAAGTACAGTCAGTTATGGCCCAAATAGACAAAAATTTTTAAAAATTGGGATAATGATAAAACAAAGATACTAATATCACAGCGGGTAGGGCGTTCGCCTTACACGCGGCCAACATGGCCGACCCGAGTTCGATTCCTCCGCCCCTCTCGGAGAGCCCGGCAAGCTACCGAGAGTATTCGATATGCCAGACACAGTAACAACAAAGTCTCCAATGGAGACGTTACTGGGCCCGCTCGAGCAAATCGACGATCAACGGGAGGGCCTTTACTTTACTTTACTTTACTAATATAATTATATTATGGTATCAAATATAAAGTTGGGTTTGTTGTTGTTGTTGTTGTTGTTTTGCTTTTTGGGTCACACCCAGCGATGCTCAGGGGTTACTCCTGGCTCATGCACTCAGGAATTGCTCCTGGCGGTGCTCGGGGGACCATATGGGATGCTGGGAATCGAACCTGTGTGGGCCATGTTGGCTGCGTGCAAGGCAAATGCCTTACCCACTGTGCTATCGCTCCAGCCCCAAATAAAAAGTATTTTAATGTCATCTAATTTGATCTATGCAAGACTAGAGAGGAATATACAACAAGGTCCTGTCTTTTCAGTGTCTATCAAAGTTGGCCAAAAATGAATTTAATTTAAATTTTTCTAATCTAAAAATTGTTAAACATTTTCTATAAGAATACTGATCTTCCACAATTAGAGTAGCCATCTAATCCTACTTTGATGATTAAAAACTGCCATTCATTACATTAAGGCTATAACTCTTATTCTAATGATCTCTTCTGTATCCTAGGTCACAAGAATGTGGCTATTTGGTTTCTAAATACGGTACTGATCCCATCCTTCTTTGGACAGAGGTATCCATTTCCATTTGTCTGAGCGGGTTACAGGAGAGTGCACTATCAGATTTTACTATTTTATCTGGGGGATGGAAAATACTCGACACTCAGTTTATACTAAAGTATAAACTTTAGTTGATATTCCTAAAAATCAAGCAGCAAATTTTAATTTCAGTAAATTTAATTATCTACCTTAATGATTATACAATCTGGCAAATCTAATACTAGATAAAAAAAAGCTACATTTCTTTTCTGATGCTTTGTTAGGCAACACGTGCTCTGTAATTGCAAAGTTTTCTAACAATCTGTCCCTCTAGAAGGCAGAATAGACATGTAGCTCCCCCCAAGCAGGGTATAGAGTTTGACATTCCTTAAAAAATCAACACTAATGGAAAAATCTTGGAAACATCTAGATAATCTCTCACTAGTGCTCTCTCTCTCCTGCCTCTCTCTCCTCTCATGTTCCCTCTCTCTCTCTCTCTCTCTCTCTCTCTCTCTCTCATGCTCTCTCTCCCTCCCTTCTGTCTCTCCCTACCCCATCATCATAATCTGTCTTAATTCCACCTGAGGGCACTCTCTACTTAAGCAAATTTATATTTGCTTCTTCTATAAATCAACTGGAGAAACTCCAATCTTGGCACCAATCCAAGCAAAAACCCCTTCCACTCGTGACCCCTTTTTGCCCAAGAAATTTTCACTCAACCCAGGTTTAGAGGTATATAAAATTAGGTCCATCAAGGTAACATCGACTGGTAATAAATCATAAATTTATTTTAAAATAACCCCCGACTCAATTACACGACCCCGTTTGGAGTCACACCCCACAACTTCGGCAGCTCAGCTTGACTGATTTTTGTTCTCATTTTTGTGGCCCACTGGACAGCGCTCTTGGAGACCACTAACAAGCCAGGCCAGGCCAGGCATCAAACACAGGCCTCACACATGCAAGGAAAATGTTCTCCCCGTAAGCCATCTCCCCGCCAAAAGCTGAGCTCTAAAGTACTGGAATGAAATGTTGATTATTTCTAACAAAAATTCTTTCCAAATGTCAACTTTTCCAACAGTAAATGGCCTTATTTTTTTCTCAACCCATGCATCATTCATATAATTCATGCCATATACATGCCCTGTGACAAGCAACAGTATCTGTTATCTCACTTAAAAGGCTTTACAATGTGCTTTCCGAGTCCCCTGTCTACTTTTTATAATCTACACTAAATTTACCCTTGCCACTGGCCATGTTCTGTGGCTTCCCACGGTATGTATTAAGTGAACTCCCTTTCCGACCTTGCTGATTTCCAACTTACAACTTCTCATCAGTACTGAGATGTCAGGATGACATGTGTATATTTAAAACAAATCAACAAAACAATAACCCAGAAAAGGAACACAAACATTTCTGAATAGGTTTTGTAGTACTAAGGTTGTGGTGCTTAGACAGTATTTTTATTGTGAAGATGGTCAAAACGCAACTTTACGGCCAGTGAACTGGCTCAACAGGCTGGGGGGGGGGGGGGGCGGGAGGGAAGGGAAGGGGGGAATCTGATCCACAGACATCAGGCCCAGGCTGAATCCCTGGCACCACCTGGTTCCCCAACACCACAAGGAACTCCTTGGGCACTGAGCTGGAGTAGCCTCTGAGCACTGCCAGGTACAGCCCCCAAACAAAACAAAAGCAACTTCCTAACATGAGTTTAGGGACCAGAGCAATAGTACATTGGGTAAGGCATTTGCTTTGCACACAGCCAAACAGGATCTAATCCTCAGTATCCTATATGGGCCTCTGGGTATCACCAAGAACTCTAAACTTGGCCCAAAAATCAGTAAACACACACACACACACACACACACACACACACACACACACGAGAGCTTATTTTTAAGGTATTTAAATAATTTTTTAAAAATGAACATTTTTAAAATATGGAAATTCTACTATGAAAATGACTTTTAGAGAATTTCTAAAACCTTCCCTCATATAGTAAAATTAAGAACTGCCTTGACTCTTAATTATTATATGGCAATAATTCTACTCATTCCCCAGTTTAATAACTAATGGGACAACTTGAAAGAAAACTATGAGTGCTAATAAAATATTACCAAGATAAAACTAAATTATGGGATGCATTAGGATGCTATATTTTTAATGATTCTCATTACAAAATTGGTTTTTGTAAATCATTCAAGATATAGTCCACAGTAAAATTTAATAGAATTACTTTGGCTTATAAAAAGGTTGCAGCCAACTCAACAGCAGTTACCAAGTACCATATTTTTAAAGTGAACTATACTATACCAAGAGCAATAATTTTCCTCTGCTTGTATTAACACAGTAAAAGTGAGCTTACTAAAACTGACCAGATTTGACAACCTGAACAGTCAGAGCAAAAGTTACAACACATTTAAAAGCATTATCAAAAAAAAATTTTTTTAATATTTTCTCTTATAGTTAGATTATGCTAAGAAAGAATAGGTTTGAAATAATATAAAAAAAAACCCTATTTGCAACTGATCAAATTGCTTCAGGGAACTAACTTTATGGCTCTAGTGTATGGTCTACATAAATAATTTTGTTTTGTTTCATTTCTGTTTGTTTGGAGACCACACTGGTGGTGTTTAAGTCTTACTCTTGGCTCTGTGCTCTGGGATCTCTCCTAGAGGAGACCGGGACCATATGTGGTGCTACGAATCAAACTTGGGTTGGCTGTATGCGAGGCCTTACCCAGTATACTATCTCTCCAGCCAAAGAAAAGCATTTTTATGCTTATTAATATCTCAATATGCTGATACAACAGCAGAAATGTAACTTAAGGGACTTTCCTCCCACACGGAAAGACTAGCACAGGTTAAATACTGGGGGGGGCGGGAACAAAGATTTTAGAAAGGGCAGAAGGCCTCAATTCTCTTACTACCTTTCAGGTCTCTGTTTAGAAACTACCTGTAATAGTATATTATGAGTGTATGATTCACCTAAATACCATTGTACTGATTTCAGGCTGACAAATTGTATGATTACAAGTATCCTGATAATTACTACAAGCAGTGAATGAATACTGCCAAAGAGATGATATATGATGATATACTTGACCCTAACCCTATATTGGAAAGGTTTTTCTACTGACCATATTCAACAGGGGGAGACAAACTGGACTCACAAGAAATTGAAAACACAACTGGTAATCTGAGCTTAATTCTGAGTAAACAGTAATTTGATTGTTGGAGCGATAGCACAGCGGTAGGGCGTTTGCCTTGCACGCAGCCAACATGGCCGACCCGAGTTCGATTCCTCTGCCCCTCTCGGAGAGCCTGACAAGCTACCGAGAGTATCTCGGCCGCACTGCAGAGCCTGGCAAGCTCCCGTGATGAATTCGATATGCCAGACACAGTAACAACAAAGTCTCCAATGGAGACGTTACTGGGCCAGCTCGAGCAAATCGATGATCAACGGGAGGGCCTTTACCTTTACCTTTACCTTACTAATATATTGACTTTAATATATTAAAATCATTAAACCAAGATGAAGGTTGGAAGGCACAATATTTGTCAATTTTCTATTAGTGCAATAGAAAGATGATCAAGAAATAAATCTTACAGCATATTATAGGTTAGAATTTGGGGCCAGAGAGAGATAGTACAGGAAGTAAGGGAGCTTGCCTTGTACTTGGTTTACCTACGTTCAATCGCAACCCATATATAGTCCACCAAGCTCTGCAGGAGTAATCACTGAACATCACTTGGTATGGTCCAAAAACTTTAAAAATAATAAAGGTTAGAACTACTGCACTGGAAGTATAAGAATAAATAAACTGCATTTAGCTACATAAAATTGACAATGGTTAATTTCTAGAAGATTTGTCATTTTGGCTCTCAAGTTATCTGTTGATTTTCAAATTGCATCACTGAATAAACAATCTCAACTAAATTCACTAAATTCACAAAGAACATGTTACCTCTCCTGAGATGACTTATTCAAAAAAACCACAGGATGCTAGCGGAATAAAAGTTACCATGCTGAAATGCTGCACCTGTATGAATGTCAAATATGTCAGTCTCTGTGAATAGCAAAGAAAGGAGACATGTGGGATGTCCCCCCCCCAAAAAAAAACTCTAAAAGTTAGATTACCATTTTAAGAACAATATCCCCCACCAAATGAACAAGCTGCTATATCCCTAAACAATATTAGACTAGCCAAGAGAAAGAGATTCCATGATCAGTAAAAGCAGTTTAATTTTCCTTAGAGATTAATATAACCAATTACACAAATATCCAGCCCATAAAACAGGTGAGATATTATCCGGTGAAAGATCAGACATATTCTGGCTTCCACATTTGCATAAACGTCAAAAGAATACTAAAGGTACACCATCACATGGTCTGGTCCCAGGCCTTCATCTTTCTAATTCCAATGCCCGAACTGCGCCTGGCTTATGGTTAGAAATGAATGAGTGACTTGGTTGGTTAACTCAGGTACTAAGAGTGGAAGCCCAAAACACATTTTTTTGTCCTAACTGTTTAAATGATTAAAAGCTTCTTCCTTTTTCAAAGAAAAAGACCACACTCCAGAATTGGGAATATTTAATGACTCTTACCTACAACTATACTAACTCTACAGCTTTATCTAAAGCTATACTATACTGGGGCTGTAGTGATTAGCACAGCTGGTAGGATGTTCGCCTTGTACGCGGCCTACCCTGGTTCGATTCCCAGCACCCCATATGGTCCCCCAAGCACCACAAGGAGTAATTCCTGAGTGCAGAGCCAGGAGTAACCCCTGTGCATTGCCGGGTGTGACCCAAATAACTAAATAAATAAATAAATAAAGCTATACTATAAACAAGGTTGATTTGCACATCACTTCTTATTACAAGCGGAAGAAACAAACAAGGTTTCACAATCATGAAAACTTGTTTTGAGGTTCATATGACTATGACTGATGCCCATAAATATAAGGCCTTGGTGAGAGACAATCTCAACAAATTTCAGGTCTAATCACCTGAGGGGTGAACAGGACAATTACTCCTTTCTTCTTGCATTAAAGACATCCCTAAATCTGACAGAGTCGCAGTTTCAGACAAGGCAGAACCACAAAAAAAAAAAAAAAAAAAAAAAAAAAAAAAAAAAAAAAAATCACTGCTGCTGAAAGCTTGCTGCTTTATATAACAAGTGTTCCCTATCAGCTCTTCAAAAAAGTTGCCATTCAAAGACAGGCTTTTTTCCCCCCCTTTTGCAAGCATACTTAAAAATTGCAGCAGAACATTAGAGAATGTTCTGGGTGTTGTCAACATTCACAGTACATGAACTTCCACAAGAATCATTTTCTCCTACTACTGTTCTTAGTTCAATCCACCCACTACCCTGCGTGAACTGGCAGGCTAAATTCTAAGGGCCACTCAGTTGTGTGTGTGGGGTGGGGTGGGGTGGGGTGGGGGGAGGGTGGGGCGAGCAGTGCAGGGAGGGGGTGTGCAGAAAACCAACACTCCCTCCAGGCTTGCGTTTCTCTCCGATGCCAAGACCACGAAAGGACCAGCAGTTATGAAGATGCTCGGGGTGGGGGGGAGTGGGGGGGAGGGTTTGGGAGTTCGGAGAGGTGGGGGCAGGGTTGGATGGGCGCTGGGCGCCCCCGGGCTGAGTGGCTGGAAGATGACAACCCTCCACCAAGCAGAAAGATGCACAATGCGACTACAGAAATCACCGGGGGGGGGGGGGGGGGGGGGGCGGGGGGGCAGCTGACCCAGCTCACGGCCACATTCAGGAACACTGCCTTCCTTCAAGACTTCAAGATTTCCCCTAACCTACCACTCCGGACCGATCTTGAGCACACAATTTTAAAATAAAAACAATTTTAAAAATAAAATTAGAAGCCGATGGGGGGAGAAAAAAAGAAAAGGGAGAGAAAACGAAAAAAAAAAAAAATACCTAGTTTCCACCGCGCGCACCTTCTAACTAAACAACTCCGGGTTGTTTTTGCAAAACCGAGCTCACCCCGCGAAAGGGGGAAACTGAAAGAAAAAGCAGAACACGCCATGAGCAAGGCCAGAGAACCCCAAGTTGCTCTTCCTGGAGAGCCTGAGACACCTCCAAAATAAGACAAAAACAAAACAGGAGCGCTCTCGGCCACCGCCTCCAAGTCCTAGAGCTGCCCGGAGTTCACGGTGACATCCCGGACGCCCCGCGAGCCGGCCGGCGGCCCGTGCCTCAGTTTCCCCATCTGCAAAGACAGGGCCGGGGGGGGGTGGAGAGGGGGAGATGTTTTTCTTGCATTGCTCGCACCCCCAAGTCCTCGCTTCCTCCGAGGTCCCGCCGGCGGCCACCCCCTCCCAACCCTCGAGCCCCAGCTCAGGAAGGCCCAGGGGGTGCTGAGGGAGCCCGGGGAGCCGCGCTGACGTCAGCGGACTCAGTCTCCCGCCGGCCCGGCGGGCTCCGAGTCGGGGCACCTAACGGGTCAGCCGGCGCCCAGGGCCCGGCGACCGCCAGCCCCGGCGCCAGGGGCCCGGAGGCCGGGCAGGGGCGCCGCGCGGAGGGGACCGGCCGCCCGTCGCTCGCCAGCCCGGCCGCCCGCCCGCCGCTCACTCACCTCGGGCGGCCGAGCTGCACACCCTCGCCCCGGCGTCGCCAGCCCCAGTCCCGGGTCGGCCCCGGCGCCCCACACCGCCGCCCTAGTATTTACCTCCGACGCGCGAGCCCCAGCGCAGCCGAACCTGCTACCTGGGCCCGCCCCCACCTGCCCCGCCTCCGGACCGCCCCGGGTGGCGGGGGGGAGCGGGAGCGGGGGTGGAGGGGGCAGCTGTCTGGTGAGCCAATGGCAGCGCGAGGTGCGGAGCCTGGGCGCGCTCTGATTGGTCCACCCCGTGACAGACCTTCCTCCAATGGCTGACAGCCCGGAGCGGCCCGAAGGGACTTTCCGCTCTGTCAAGCTCGGTCGAGCCAAAGGGAAAGCGAGAGGGGAGGGACGGAGGTGCGGGGGGGTGGGGGCGGGGACTTGTGGATGATTGGCCGAAAGGTTGCGGGTGCTGCGTTCCCATTGGCTGACACTGGAGGAGGGGCGGTACTCTCTACAGCGCCCCGTTCCATCGCCCATGCCGGGTCTTGGCTCTTGGTTTAGCTGTCAAAACTCCTGCAGACTGAGAGCTCGTGGGTAGGGTGGAGAGCAGTTCACAGGGGAGCTGGGAAAAGGCTGACAGGAGTTCATGAAAGCGCACAACTTTGGAATTAAACCTAAGTTCGGATTCTTTGCGCTATTAGTAACCCTTCGTGGCACGGACTCTTAACAACCTCGCTGAGCCTCAATTTACTTCTCTGGAAAATGAAGATAATCCTATCACCGGCCTTAAAGAATGCTGTGAAATAGCAGGTGTAAAGTTTCTGACAGCAGGAGCATCGTCAATGTTAGATCTCTTCCTTTCCTTCGAGTGGGTCTGGACCGCTGACTGGTTTTGGGCTGCTCTTGTCAGCTATCCCTGTTTGGAAAATCCGTCTACCAGAGGTGGCAAAGAAGGGATTTCCGCTCGCAGCCTCGTTCAGCATTGCACCCCTGGCCACCAGCCAGGACTTGGGCTGTAGTTAAGGATCTTTCAATTAGAAGGGAGGCTTCTGATTCCCAAAAGTGCTCAAAATATTTAAGGACGTGCTTTTTATACTCGGTCCCAGAGCTTTGCAGCATGCCTTGCTGTACTGGTTGCTCTTGTTAATTAATTCCTTCTCCTTTGACATTTTAAGTACCAATTATAGGAGGTGATTAATAGAGAGAAAGGAAGAGGTGTGTATGAGTGTGTGTGTGTGTCTGTGTGTGTGTGTATTTAATCATTAGAGTTTCCCTCGTGCAAAATAGCATATTTCTGAAGATCTGGAGGATTTAAACCAATAAGAAATCATATGCACGATTACTAACAGCACTAATGAACAGGTCACCTGTCTTCTGTGCCATAAATAACCAGAATAAGAAGAACATCCTTTGATTCAACCCACTCTTGTTCCTCCTTAGTCCTCTGATCCCTTTTCTAGGCTTCAAAAACAAACCACAGTACGGAATAAATTGGTATGATTCGCAATGTGGCCTTAATCAACAACATTCCTTCCTAGATCTAGACTCTTCAACAGAATTGGAAGGATTCAGAAATCAGTTTGACTGTGGCAGAAAATGTCACCCAGAAGATTGTTTTTCTCTCAATCCATGCACTGAGAAGAAAGCAGGGAGAGAAGAAAGTGGAGTTGGAGAGAAAGATTTTGAATCCTTTTAGATAGGCACTGTTCCTTTATCTAGTTTGCCAGGTTCCTTGCCCTTCCCTATTTTAGACTTTTTCTCAATTATGTTATCTACTGGCTCTGAAGAAGGCATTTCTGGTTGCCACTCCTGAACCAGAGTCTCTTAATGTCCTTTCTTGCGATGGCATTTGATGCTGTCTTCCCCTATTCTTCAGCAGGGCTCTCATTCTCACTACCTGTGACCCTTTGATCAGTCCTTCTGACATCCCCAAAGTCAGACAATGGGACCTGGCTGTACCCCGAAACTTCTCCCAATGCCACACCTTATAGAGGGGTTTTATCTCCACTAGCATCTCCTACCCATTTGGTCATCCATCACTGTCTAAAACGCAGTCTTCAAAATCATTCTGAAGATGTATTTAGACTTCCAGAGAAAAGGGACTTCTGCCAGGGGGTAGCATGGGGAAAATCATGTCATGGCTCTATTATTTGCAGTTTTTGATAAGTCCATCTCTAAGTTTTATAGATGCATCCTGATAACCTCTGTTTATCCTTCACAACTGTCCTCTTCAGTCTGGCTCTGACTTCATGCAGCCTAGCCTGAGTTACTGACAAGATTCCAGGAAACCTAACAGGTTAAAGGAGAGCTGTCACCTTTGCCCTCAGACAAGGAAAGCAGATGGTAAATGACTGTCACGTGATGTTTCAATTCTAAGATTAGAGGCAGTCTCTGCAGTCTAATGGCTCCGGATGCCACCCAGACAAACGGAACAGGAATGCGTGTGTACTAAAAGAACTGGAACATTCCTTCATTCAGTCTCTGGTTTGAGACACTTCCCACCAACCAATGATCAAGTCCAGCAGAACAAGCTCTAATCTCCAGGGCCGCCTAGACTGGACATGGCCACATGCATGCATGCATGCTGTGCAGCCCCTATCCACTATAGCCAGCATATCTCCACCAACTGATTGTTCGAGATCTCTGAACAAGAGGAAATCTCATGCTCAAGTGAAAATTCTCTCTGGGGGCTTTAATTCTGAAAGAGGAACTGAAGGAGGCAGGGCACAGAATTTGTGGTTATAAAAGGTAGCCAAGGAACATCTTTGTTGGGCTCAGGTGATCTTTATCCCAGGAGCCATTGAAAGTCTTTGAAGGACTGTAAGCAGAGTAGCTGACTGATTCCAGACCACCCGGCATCCCCTCTTTCTTGCATATAACTGGAATATGTGGGTGACTTATGTGAAGTGGGAAAGGAGAGGTAACAGCCTTAAAAGGGAAGTCTACTTTCTTTCTTCCCATCTGGATTGCCAGGAATGTGCATGAGAGGGTAAGCACTAGCACAATCTCCTTGGAGCACCTTCTTGGTCCAGATCTCATGCCTCACCAGCTTACCTAGCATCACTATGAGAAGCTAGTGAAGATAAAACCCACTTATAAGGTGTGATATTGGGAGAAGTTTTGGAGTACAGTGAGGTCCCATTGTCTGACTCTGGGGATGTCAGAAGGACTGAACAAGGGGTCACAGATAGTGAGAATGAGAGCCCTGCTGAAGAAAAGGGGTAGACAGCAACAAATCAACAACAGTCATCACATGGTACCTAAGTTCCACTGGATCTTCTTAGCACATAAATCAATCCCTCCCACACAATTTCTGGGGAAACCATAGAACTCAGGCGGGAACGAGAACAAGGGAAATCAATCCTGGCCTCTCTGTCCATCACCTTCCTCTGCAGAAAAGAGTTTCAGGAAGGTGATGGAGAGGGAAGTCGTGGATGTTTATTTGGGAAATATGGGAGGAGAGAAAGAGGGTTTCATGCGCGCGCGCGCAAGAGAGAGAGAGAGAGAGAGAGAGAGAGAGAGAGAGAGAGAGAGAGAGTGGCTCCCCCGAGGAGAGAGCCAAGTAGAGCTGCTGGCAAATCCCCAAGATGAAGAATACCTCAGAGAGTGGAAGAGAACGCCCATGTCATGCAGAGATGCAGATGACCCTGGGAATGGAGAAGCATACACCTTTGTCCCCGAAAAGTTGCTAGAGTTGTCAAAGGGAGGAGCTTAGAACTGTTGGATTGTCTTTGGATGTTCTTAGCATGGGAATGGCCGGCCATTATCCCAGCTTTGGAGCCTGATGTGGGGTGGAGGTGGGCTGGGGGAGAATCCAGAAGATGATGTGGGCCTGGAATTAAGCACAGAAAAGGCTTTTGGGGCTCCTCAGATTGTTCCTATACTTCAAAGGTCTTCATGTCTTTGGGTTCGTCTGGCTTCCAGCGGTGTCTTTCTGCGTGCACATTACTGGGGTTTCCCTGGCTCTATACCTGCAACCATCCCAACAAGAGCCACTGACATGAGCTTTCTCATCCAAGATTTGGTCACTTGGCAGCCATGTAGGAGCCCATGACTTCAAGTCACACCAGGGCTCATCTAAACCTCAGGAGAGTTTGTCATGGTTATTGATCAGATCCTGCTTTTTACTTTCTAAATGGTTTCCAGATGGCACCTCCTACTTCCAACTTCCCCAAATGCACTGTTCATTTTACATCCTGTTCCCTACTCCGCACCTCCACCCCACCCAGCTAAGGTGAACCCCTTATATTCCCACACTCAACGCAGTCATTCTGTCTTCCTCATCTCAGCAAATGGCAGCTTTCAGGCATTCCTTCATTCAGCCTCCGGTGGTTTGAGCCATTTCCCACCAACCAGTGATTAAGCCCAGCAGAAGGGGCTCTAAACTCCAGAGACACCGGGAGGGAATGTGGCCATAGGCAAGTGCGCTGTGCAGCCTTTATCCACCATAGTCAGTGCATTTCCACCAACTGATGACTTGATATAGCCCAAGATCTCTAAATAAGAGAAAACCTCATATGCAATTGAACATTCTGTTTGAGAGCTTTGATTCTAGTCACCTAAAAACATTTTGGATACATTGAAAGGGATTACTTTAATCATCTTAAAACTAATCCAGCTAAATAATAAATCCAGGCTCTCCTGTTGGAGTTATTTGCTGTTATCTGGGTGATTTGAAAAACCCACATAGAGAAAGGGATTTAATGCTTTTCATTTAGGTCTTTTGAGCGAGGCCAGAAATCCCATCTGGAGCATTTATACATTAAGAATAATGCCATGTCATGGGAAAGCTTCCTCCCTGAAAAGATTTAATGGTGTCGAGATGTCAAGGGGAAAAGTGATTTGTTCATATAGTCTGTCCCAATTTCTACTTTCTGTCCTTTGAGTATCAGTCTTTCCACCAACACTTGAGCACCAACTCTGCAGTGAGCACCACGTTGACAAGAAGAGTATTTCCCTAAGAGGAAATAGACAAAGGTTTGGAAGCAGCTGGGATGTGGCTCAATGATAAAGTGAATGCATTACATGCAGGAGAAGTGGGTTCCATCCCTGGCACTGCCAAGAGAGAGAGAGAGACAGAGAGACAGACAGACAGACAGACAGAGACACAGACAGAGACACAGAAACAGAGACACAGAGAGAGACAGAGAGAGCAAGAAAGCGGGGGGAGGAGCAAGAACCTGGGGTCGAAGCAACCGTACAGCAGGGAGGG